CATGGTAATGAGATGCAGGCAGGATCCTGAATTGGGTCCAGGACCAGAGAGAGGACATCAGTGGGTGATTGATGAAATTAGGATAAGGTTTGCAGGTTAATTTATAATATTGTACCAATGTTAATTAATTACACTTAATTTAAAAATTAATTCTTTTGTGTTCTTGTTTAGCAATTCTTAACTTTAGTTCCAGTATTTTGTAAACTCTTTATCTTTATTGCCAACGCAGGGAGATTTTCAGACCTTCCAAAATAATAGTTCTGTTAGGCTGCATTTTTTCTTCACTTGGAATCCCCTCTATTAGGTAGTGTTTCTAGACAATGATCATGGTCCTTTTTTCAAACTGTTAAGTGGGTTTCTACTAGCACTTTAAAAATTAAATAGGATAGAAAATAACAGTGTAAGAGTGCAGTTAAGTATTGTATCATGGTGTACATGATACATACACAGTTGTACATGTGTATGTTGCATGTGTACTGGGTGGTCATGTAATATATATTTTGTACTCTTGGTTACCATCATAAAAAATTTGAAAGCCATTGCTTTAAGAACTATCAGCCTGGTGAAGACAGATGAAATTATCAGAAGTGTTGCACTGTACACACAAAGGACAAGGAATTCAGAGCGTTTTGTCTGACACTTCTGGAACATTTGGGGGCCAGAAAGCAGGAGATTATCTGAAAGTAGAAGAGTTTTGCTGGGTTTAGAGTCTTCGCCTTTTGCATTTTAACAGAATACAAGTCCCAGTTCTGATCTCCAGAAAGATGACTTAAATGCAGAATGCCTGATATGCCTACAAAGAGGTGACTCTGTCATACTTCCTATCAAATCCTGTTGTTTGTTTCAAGGACAGAATTTGGCTGTAAAATTGAAGGGCATGCTGGGAGAGTACTAAAAAGCAAACAAACAAATATAAAACAAAACAAAACAAAACAATTTAGATGAGCCAGAGTAGATGTACAGAATGTGCCAAGGAAGGAAAAAGCAATTGCTGTGGAAGCAGGAAGTGGGTGTGCCTCACTGCTGTTGTGAGCAACTTTCCAAGTGCTTTAGGGCAGGAGCCATTTATGAGTGTCTTCTCTCTATGAATTTCTCACTTTCCTCTAAGAAAAGCTTTTGATTCCTATGCTATTTATTAGGTTATTTTAAGAATGGAGTTTGAAGTGCTGTGCACATGTGGTCTTTACACTGCGCATCAGGTGCCCTGCTTCGTCTCCAACTTCTTTGAAGAGCCTATGAAAATGTTCTCACAAAAATGTCTGATTATTACTGTTTTTCTACATTTGAATTTTGGAGAGATGAGGGAAACAGTGGACTCTTAAGACCGATAGAATCTGGGTTTATTTCTGGCTCTGCCACTAATTGCTGTTTATCAGTTTCCAAGTAGTTTGACTCTTCTCAGCTTCGGTCTCTCGTCTGTCAAATAAGAGGGGGCCCCTCCGGGATGGTGGGAGAACCAAATGAAATAAAAAATAGGAAAGAGCTGCAGTGTCTACAGAGCACTTTACAGGTGAAAGGAAAAGAGGGTTGCAGAGCGAAGAGGGTTCTATGGATGAAGCATTTCTTGGCGCACTGAATGACCTTTTATGTAGTTGTCATGAAACCTGTAAGAGAGAAGCTTGAGGAGGTGACCATGTTATACTGAATTGAGACCAAACTCAGTGCTTTAGGAATTTAGCTTTTTTGGAGGTTTTAAAAGCAGGGGTGGAGTTATGCACCCTATTTGTTGAGTAAAATTGTTATCTGTACTGGAGAAATTTTTCAAAATTAAAGTAGTTGCTCATTCTCATGGAAGTACAACACCTAGACTCTTAAACCAACTAAATTTGTCTCCTGCTGGAACATTGTAGGGTTGTGGGACAAGTGTCTTATTTTTAAGAGGATGGATATTGAATTTAATTTTCCTAAGACCATTATAAAAAATCTTTTTAGCCCAGTTGTTTGCTCTCTTTTAATGAACCAGATGATTTATTCAGACCTTATTCAGTTCAGATTATTGAAGTTCAGATTTGGAACCAGCCCATGTAGTTTCATTTCCTGTAGGGATAGGGTGCAGGACTTTCCCCCCTCACTTCCCTTAGAGAGTGTATAGCTCTCTCAGTATGGCAAATTTCAACAAGAGGAGAGGACAAGTCTGTTCTGAAATCACTTTCTTCCCTTCATTCAGATGTTGTGAGGGGTTTTAAGTCCCTTTTGCAGCTTTCTCGATGAACATTCACTAGTCAATCTTTTTTTCCTTTCAAAACAACATTCCCTCTTTTTCTGGCCTAAAAATATATAAGCATTCATGAATTAATTTCTCATTTCTTTTCATGTGACCCTAACTACATATTTCCTAGAGAATGCTCTTTTAGTGAACCTGTCAGGTAGTTTCCCAGCCAGCCTCAGTCCATGATGTAAGGTAATACATTTTAATTTTTTCAAATTCCACATTGAATAAATTCTTAACAGTGTATTTAAGGCAGGTGATATAAATGTCTCATGGAAGTACAACACCTAGACTCTTAAACCAACTAAATTTGTCTCCTGCTGGAACATTGTAGGGTTGTGGGACAAGTGTCTTATTTTTAAGAGGATGGATATTGAATTTAATTTTCCTAAGACCATTATAAAAAATCTTTTTAGCCCAGTTGTTTGCTCTCTTTTAATGAACCAGATGATTCATTCAGACCTTATTCAGTTCAGATTATTGAAGTTCAGATTTGGAACCAGCCCATGTAGTTTCATTTCCTGTAGGGATAGGGTGCAGGACTTTCCCCCCTCACTTCCCTTAGAGAGTGTATAGCTCTCTCAGTATGGCAAATTTCAACAAGAGGAGAGGACAAGTCTGTTCTGAAATCACTTTCTTCCCTTCATTCAGATGTTGTGAGGGGTTTTAAGTCCCTTTTGCAGCTTTCTCGATGAACATTCACTAGTCAATCTTTTTTTCCTTTCAAAACAACATTCCCTCTTTTTCTGGCCTAAAAATATATAAGCATTCATGAATTAATTTCTCATTTCTTTTCATATGACCCTAACTACATATTTCCTAGAGAATGCTCTTTTAGTGAACCTGTCAGGTAGTTTCCCAGCCAGCCTCAGTCCATGATGTAAGGTAATACATTTTAATTTTTTCAAATTCCACATTGAATAAATTCTTAACAGTGTATTTAAGGCAGGTGATATAAATGGGACCTAAAGAAACACACTCATAAAAATACTTTACAAAACTATGGTGTTGAAACTGGTTTTCTTCCTAGTTCAAAACCATTTCAGAAACTGCATGAATGACCTTTATTTTCTTCTCTGTAGCACACACGACTATAATTTCCCATGACTATTTATGGTCTGTACAAGGCTTTTGTAACTTCCTTTTTTTAAAAAATGTCAACGGAATACGTGTTTCTTTAATGGAAAATGTTCTATTTTGGGGAAGCTGCTTTTCCTTAGATAAGTAGTGGAGTTGGGGTAGAGTATGTGTGTGTGTGTGTGTGTGAGAGAGACAGAGAGAGAGAGAGAGAGAGAGAGAAAGTATGTTGGGATTGTAAGATTGGGGAGTATTAAATTGGTGGATTGAGAGGAGAGTTTGGAATGACAGTCCCAGTGATGACTCCTGAATACAAAGCCTTCTTTTTGTCCAACATTAAAAATAACTGTACCTGGTATTCCATATTCTTTCTTTTTAAGGACTATTTTATTCTTTTTCCTAATATATGGCAAAATAGTACAGAAAGTTTCAAACCCAGGTGGTTTTGAAACGAGAGGAAGGTGGTTCATTAACAGTGTGGTTTCAGGTAGGGAGGCAAGGCAGCATTGACCTGGTGGCAGTGGCAGGTGAGTTCTGCGGGCTGAGTGCTCCAGGCTCCAGTTGCTGCACCTTCACAATGGAGTGCGCACAGTGGAGAGCCATGCACGGTAGGCAGCTTATCTGTCTGACTCGGGAGCCTTGTACAGTACCTGCACTGTCCTTCCCTTTCCTTTTGAATGATTTGAAACCTAACCAAAGGTTTCTGTTTCAGTTCTCCAGCTTTGCGTTTTGCATTTGTCTGTGTTTCACAATAACTGTGGAAGGATTATACATTTTAAGTTTCAGTTATTTTAGGTCTAGAAATGGTCTTCACATTTTAGCTGTTGTTCACTCTCTCATTTAGATAACTGATAGCATATACATCTTGTTTGTTTTAATGTGAATTTTATTGAAGTATAATATAAATACAAATCAAAGTGTAGCCCTTGATGAATTTTTTCACAGTGCACACATATTTGTGTGACTAGTACTAGGTCATGCACCAGAACGTTATATTAGAAAAACTAGAAGCCCTCTCCTCCCTCTCCTAGACACTGCTTTCCTTCCGTGACTTTTGATACCAGTCTTGCCTGATTTTGGACTCTGTAATTATGGAATTAGGCAGTATGTCCTCTGGAATATGGCTTCTTTCACTTGATACTCTATTTGTGAGATTCATCCTATTGATACATAAAGCTATAGTTCTTCATCTTCACTGCTATATAGTATTCCATTGTTTTAATACAGAGCAAATTATCTCCTGCAGTTGTGAATATATGTCAGTAAAATGTGGTTTAGACTTCATACTGAAAAGGACTTAGTAACCATGTGATTAGTTGTACTCTGATCTAATGCCTAATTGTTTTATTACTATAAGAGCTCTTTTATTTAAAAATAGGCAACTGTTTTTCTCTTCCTTAAGACAGAATATTAACTTTATCATATCATTTTCCATTCTACTCCTTACCTGCAACAAAATTAATCACTTCTCATCTTTGTGCTTCCATGAAAATTTATTTCCTTTTGTACTTAACACATGTAGATAGCTGTTGTGTTCATCATAGGTAGTGGGGTTACATCATATACATATACCTCCTAAAGCCAGGGCCTGTCTTTAAATTCATGTTTCTAGATCAAGTTTCTAATATGCCAGCTATCAATCTGAAAATTTCTAAGTGTGTTGGAATTCTAGTCTGGCTTATCAGCAGGATTTTGTTGCATTTTGTCATTGTAGCCTGAGATTCCTGAATGCATCTGCAAACAAACTGGAAACCCTTCCTCCAGCCACACTTTCTGAAGAGACAAACAGCATCTTACAGGAACTATATTTGACAAAGAACAACCTCACAGATAAATGTGTGCCCTTGCTAACAGGCCACCCCCATCTGAAGATCCTTCATATGGCCTATAACAGACTTCAGAGTTTTCCAGCAAGGTAAAAGATCACAGAGCGATAGTCTTCATTGCATTTCTGAAGTAGATTCATAGATGGGTAGGCAAAACTAAAATGTTAATTTCGTACATAATGTAGAGCTTTTTCCACCTGATTCTTGTTCACAGTTGTCTTTTATAGAAGCCATGATCAACATTCCTCGAAAGAGAAATGTGTTAGTTTGTCTAATGTGAATGTATCCAAAGACACAATCACTAAAATGTTCTTTTGATTTTGAAATAAGGTATGTTTTTTAGTGGGTATGTTTTAGTGGGTCTTGGGGTTTTTTTGTCTGCTTCTTTTTAAACAGTCAACTTAATTTTTTGAAAAATTAACCTAATATGGTGTGTGAGAATTAGAACATAAACTAAGAGCCTGAGGGTTCTTAATTAGCCACTAGCTTTTGTTTTTCTGCTGGTGGTATAAAAAGCAGTGGTGGCCTGTGCAACCATAGAAACTGTGTGGCATTACGTATAATTTATGGCTCTCAGGAGATTCCATTTTTAATTCTGTTTCAATTTTAATTTCTAATTTTGGGGAGCCAATGGCATTATATCTGGCTTTGAATGAATCTACACACAGAGCCTTCCATGAAGGATTTACTCCGCTTCCATGTTGTTGGCATTTATCCATCTAACAAGTTAGGACTTGGAACCTACACATCAAAGAAGCAAACGCTAACCACTCTGGTGTCCTGCTGCTAAGTGCAACTGAGCACTGGGCCAAAGAGAAATATTGGCACAGCCTCCGTCTGCTGCCATCAAGGCTACCAGGCTGTTGAAACTCTTCCCAAAGAAGAAAGGCCCAGCTATACATTCACTTAAAGTATTGCTGTGGGTTTGTTTTTTTTTTTGGTACATATTTATTTCTTTAGTCATTAACATCAAATGAAGGGAAAAACAAACTTTTTTTTTTTACTGTGTTTTATTTTACTGTGGAATGAGGAGATGAAATTTTTGGAAGAAAACATGGTAATCACATAACAGTAAAAGCTCTGAAAGGCTCTCATCCTATCTGAGATGGTGAATCACTAAGTTCTGCAGGAGAAATGATGGTCAACTCAAATTCCGAGGGTATCCCAGTGGCTCATGCCAACTGTAATCACCCAAAGTACAGAGAATTTTTTTATGTACCTCATAAAAGTCCATGTTGCTATAATGTCTTTCTCCCCGGGGATGATGATATGGCACATTAGCTCCCCTACAAGACCCTGAGGTCCTTAAGGGTCAGGACTATGATTTTCTCCTTTAGCCTCAGGTCTTACATGAGGTCTGACCTGGGGTAGACTCTCAGCCAGTGGTTCTTGAAGTGAAGAATGTGCCCTTTCATCTTCACTGCTATATAGTATTCCATTGTTTTAATACAGAGCAAATTATCTCCTGCAGTTGTGAATATATGTCAGTAAAATGTGGTTTAGACTTCATACTGAAAAGGACTTAGTAACCATGTGATTAGTTGTACTCTGATCTAATGCCTAATTGTTTTATTACTATAAGAGCTCTTTTATTTAAAAATAGGCAACTGTTTTTCTCTTCCTTAAGACAGAATATTAACTTTATCATATCATTTTCCATTCTACTCCTTACCTGCAACAAAATTAATCACTTCTCATCTTTGTGCTTCCATGAAAATTTATTTCCTTTTGTACTTAACACATGTAGATAGCTGTTGTGTTCATCATAGGTAGTGGGGTTACATCATATACATATACCTCCTAAAGCCAGGGCCTGTCTTTAAATTCATGTTTCTAGATCAAGTTTCTAATATGCCAGCTATCAATCTGAAAATTTCTAAGTGTGTTGGAATTCTAGTCTGGCTTATCAGCAGGATTTTGTTGCATTTTGTCATTGTAGCCTGAGATTCCTGAATGCATCTGCAAACAAACTGGAAACCCTTCCTCCAGCCACACTTTCTGAAGAGACAAACAGCATCTTACAGGAACTATATTTGACAAAGAACAACCTCACAGATAAATGTGTGCCCTTGCTAACAGGCCACCCCCATCTGAAGATCCTTCATATGGCCTATAACAGACTTCAGAGTTTTCCAGCAAGGTAAAAGATCACAGAGCGATAGTCTTCATTGCATTTCTGAAGTAGATTCATAGATGGGTAGGCAAAACTAAAATGTTAATTTCGTACATAATGTAGAGCTTTTTCCACCTGATTCTTGTTCACAGTTGTCTTTTATAGAAGCCATGATCAGCATTCCTCGAAAGAGAAATGTGTTAGTTTGTCTAATGTGAATGTATCCAAAGACACAATCACTAAAAAGTTCTTTTGATTTTGAAATAAGGTATGTTTTTTAGTGGGTATGTTTTAGTGGGTCTTGGGGTTTTTTTGTCTGCTTCTTTTTAAACAGTCAACTTAATTTTTTGAAAAATTAACCTAATATGGTGTGTGAGAATTAGAACATAAACTAAGAGCCTGAGGGTTCTTAATTAGCCACTAGCTTTTGTTTTTCTGCTGGTGGTATAAAAAGCAGTGGTGGCCTGTGCAACCATAGAAACTGTGTGGCATTACGTATAATTTATGGCTCTCAGGAGATTCCATTTTTAATTCTGTTTCAATTTTAATTTCTAATTTTGGGGAGCCAATGGCATTATATCTGGCTTTGAATGAATCTACACACAGAGCCTTCCATGAAGGATTTACTCCGCTTCCATGTTGTTGGCATTTATCCATCTAACAAGTTAGGACTTGGAACCTACACATCAAAGAAGCAAACGCTAACCACTCTGGTGTCCTGCTGCTAAGTGCAACTGAGCACTGGGCCAAAGGGAAATATTGGCACAGCCTCCGTCTGCTGCCATCAAGGCTACCAGGCTGTTGAAACTCTTCCCAAAGAAGAAAGGCCCAGCTATACATTCACTTAGAGTATTGCTGTGGGTTTGTTTTTTTTTTTGGTACATATTTATTTCTTTAGTCATTAACATCAAATGAAGGGAAAAACAAACTTTTTTTTTTTACTGTGTTTTATTTTACTGTGGAATGAGGAGATGAAATTTTTGGAAGAAAACATGGTAATCACATAACAGTAAAAGCTCTGAAAGGCTCTCATCCTATCTGAGATGGTGAATCACTAAGTTCTGCAGGAGAAATGATGGTCAACTCAAATTCCGAGGGTATCCCAGTGGCTCATGCCAACTGTAATCACCCAAAGTACAGAGAATTTTTTTATGTACCTCATAAAAGTCCATGTTGCTATAATGTCTTTCTCCCTGGGGATGATGATATGGCACATTAGCTCCCCTACAAGACCCTGAGGTCCTTAAGGGTCAGGACTATGATTTTCTCCTTTAGCCTCAGGTCTTACATGAGGTCTGACCTGGGGTAGACTCTCAGCCAGTGGTTCTTGAAGTGAAGAATGTGCCCCACCAATTAAGTTCTTTCCTGGCAATTTCTATGTTGAGGGATGGAAAATCCTTTAACTTGTTCTTTCGTAGGCCTGGTTTCTGTACATTCAATCAGTTTTTTCATAACCCATTACACATTGATTTTTCCATATTTCTTTTTAAAATGTGACAACATATTCAAATAATAGTCTTACAAATTCAGACTGTCCAAGATGGATTACTTCACAGTTTGTGTATCTGATATTGTTTGTAGTGTATCCTCACACCATGGTGGATGTTTATGACATTTAAAGATCTGACTTCATAAGATTACAAATGTAGTTCTTATATTCCGATGTTCATTTATTTTCAAGATAAGCAAATAAGATAACCTTCATATTTGAGAGATGATAGAAAGAAAAGTAATAAAGGGTTTCTTCCTAAATTTTTTAAAGGTTTATTGTGAGAAATGAAATGACAGCAAGCAGAGAAGATACCAATAACTGTGTACTAAGTGACTCACATAAGTTGGAGTTTCACTCACTGGGAAACCTGTGTTTCTTGGGGACCAACATCACCAGTGGTAGAAAAAGGGTCAGAGGAGTGGTAGAATGCTATTATAGGATTATAGAGGTGGATGGCTTTTCCCTCTAAATTTACAGGAAATATAAGAAACTCTAACTCTGGAATTTTTCTTTACTTGATTATTATAATTATTGCTTAATATTATTAAGGTTAATTATGTATTATAAATTGAATAATAAAAGACATTCTTAAAATAAAAGTTAAATTTTATCAGGACATGTTATTAAGGTGAGGTCAGAGAGATTCCTTCTGTATAGATGCTTAGCAGGAGTAGAGAGAATTTTCTTTCAGGTATGGTTTGAATTTGGGCACTGCCAGCAGGTCAAGAAATGATTCAGATGACCCCCTTCTCACCCCCACCTTGTCATCACGAGTGATGTCAGAGGAATTTGTGGAGTGGGGTGTAGGAGAAAACATCTTCGTATTAGTAGAGCCCTATTCTCCTCAATATTCCCTTGAGTTTTCTGTCCCAATGCAAGAAACTGTACTCTCAAACTAAGCTCTTTTACAGCACTTACACTGGATTAAGGCTAACTTTTGACCCATTTGAGTAAGATTTTCACTGGAGTTCAGACTAAGCTACACAGCAAAGTGATTGTTGCCAGGATAAGGTGTAATTCACACATCGAGTTTCAAGAGGAAAAGGACATCCATTTTTCTTCTTGTTGCCAATTTTAAGAGTCGAAGTTAAAGATTTTGTTTTGTCATAGGAAAGGAAGTGTAAAATATTTCTGTAACTCAAGAACAATAGTGGAAACATTGTCTTGTTTGTTAAAATGACTTACAAGTGAATCTTTCAATAATCGGTAAAGTCACAGTACATTTCCCTTTTGATTCTCATTATATATTCTTTTTTTAATTGCCTTATTATTTTATGACTCCTTCCCCCTTGGGTTTCCTCTTTTTTAGTAAAATGGCAAAACTGGAGGAACTTGAAGAAATTGATCTCAGTGGAAACAAACTGAAAGCCATCCCGACGACGATCCTGAACTGCAGGCGCGTGCACACTGTGGTCGCTCACTCCAACTGCATCGAGGTCTTCCCTGAAGTCATGCAGCTCCCAGAAATCAAGGTACGATTTTTGACTCCATAAACACCCAGCTTCTGGTCAGCACAGAGAATCTTTTTCTAACCCGCCAGTTCAGAGTGCTTGCACTGGATTTCCTCAGCATGAAGACTTGCTCCATCCTTCCTAACCACTGGGCTACACTGTGAATAAACAGGTGGAGAAAACACCCAGTAGACAAGAAACACTGGACTGGGACTTGGGAGAATTGTGTTCCGGGCCCTATCCCTAACCAGCTGCATACGTGAGGCTAGCCACATGGCCACCTGACTCTCCCAGCTGTCAAGCAGTACTTGTCCTCCTTATTTAGCCTTATTTGAGCCTCCTTGTTTGAGCCTTAAAGGCTCAAAAACTGAATCAGGTGGGACAGCAGTTCGGACACATTAACCGTACTACTGCACACCCTCCCCTCATTAAATAGCACCCACCGCCTCAGTCCTGACCAGTGATCATTCTCTACATAGATACAGCTTCATTCCTGCTGCCTTTCATTCATTTCAATTTAATGAAACTGGCAGAGTAGATATTATTCCCATTTTATCCTGAGATGCTAAAAAAGAATTGATTTGTGTAAATGAAGACAGCAAATTGGTTGCAGAAACAGTCTGCAACTGCTGACTCAGGGTAGATGCGTGGGATAAAACCAGTTCATTAGAATGAAAACCATCTAACTTTTATGCAAGTGCTTTTGGTGTAAAAGTAAGAAGTTCTTTAATATAATTTTTCATTTGTATCTTAGCATTTCTGATTATGAGGTTTGTGCTTAATAAAAAATACTCAGTGAATATAGAGTTGGACCATATTCTAATCTCCTAAAAAGAAACAAAAGTCATCTTGCTTGGCCATTCTTCACATTTCAGGCACTTTGTGATATAAACTTTATGTATCAGATTAAGAAATTATGTACATTTGAAGGCACTTTAAATAGCACACATAATATTTCACTGCAGCAGTTTTTCTACATTTACGTGGTTGTGTGTGCAAGCCATTTTATGAGTGTGTGCATATATGTGTATGCTTTAGGCTGTGAAATATTTTAAGTGCACTATCATTTTTTTATTTAAGGTATCATTGATACACAGTCTTATGCTCAGGTTTCACGTGAGCAACACTGTAGTTACTAGACTCCCCCCTATTATCAAGTCCCCACCACATACCCCATTACAGTCACTGTCCGTCAGCATAGTAAGATGATATAGAGTCACTACTTGTCTTCTCTGAAGTGCACTATCATTTTATACAACACCATAGCACTTCAGAACATTTATTATAAACCAGCAGAACTATTTGACTTTTACTTTCTATATAGGACCTTTCACTGTCTGAAGGGAGATAGCTAGAATTAGATTCCAGCTAAAACTTTCTTAACTGCTCCATTCCCTAATACGTAAAATGAGGGAAAGAGTAGTACTCATTTGCAGCATTGCTGTGAGGATGAAATGAAATAATGCATGTAAACATTTGAAACAGGAGTGGTACAGAGTCAACACTCCATAACATTAGTGATAGAGTAAATATAAGTTCTCAGCGTGGTTCAACTGTGATGTTGATTATATGGAGCAAGTGTTTTGGCTGATGATCAACACAATCCAGGAAATCTACTGCTTAAGCAAATGCCTCTTTGCCTCTGGCACAGGAACGAGGTTGAGAGCTAAGTGTTCCAGGGGCTGTAACAGTGCCTGTTGCTGGACATGGGCTTGTGAACTTGGTCTCTGTCCACCGTGCACGGTCGTACACTCACACAAGGAGAGAAGGGCCTCAAGATTAAACTCCTAATTACTGGTCTCAATTTCTGTACCCATCTTTTAATGTTTATAACTCTTAATTGTCGATTAGGGTTTTTTAAAAATATATTGTTTAAAATACAGAAAGACATTTAAACTTTCCAGGTTGACTAGATTTTGCAAAATATGAATCTTGCTCTGTGAAAGTGCATCCTCTCCTAAATCCTTGCTTGGATTCCTGGATTTAAAGTCAGTGCCTTCTATTTCCATTTAACTCCTTTCCTGCTCTCTTTAGTCTGCACCCTGCTTTATAGCTCTTTTTAAAATTTTACTTGTTACTGCTTTTTAAATATTTTTCTTTCTTTTGCTCTTTTATTTATTTTAGCTCTTAGCTATCGTATCTTAGCACTTTCCTTATGCTAGCAATGTCCACTCTTTGCCACCCAGCTCTTAGTTACCAGTGGATATTCTATCGTCAGGTTTTTTTATGTGTGTTGGGGGCTGGAGGTAGGGAGCAATATCAAGTATTCTTTATATACAAAAGTATATCTTTTGCAGCCCTAGACAGATAATGTTACTGAAAAAGTAGTTATTTAGGGCTCTGAATTTATATTTTAGTGTTCTTCCTTGTAAGGATATTTTAAGTTATAGTATAAGTATTTATGCTCATTTAAACTATCCAAAAGAAAATTCCTGATAAAAATAGTTGCTGTATCTAAAAGGAGAAGATACCTATGAGAGTCTTCACTGCACACTGAACCCTAAAGCATGTTTTTAAGGTAAAAGAAAGTGTTTTTCCTGAGTTAAAATATTCCAGCCTATATTAAAATTTTATTATTGAGTTACTAACCCTAGATTATATTCCTTTTGCTTCTTGAAAATAAAGTGCATTAATTGTAAAATATTTCATAAAAGGTGTAAGATCATTGCAGTTATAAAAACTTACTAGGTAACATATTTAAAGAGGGATGAAACCCTGGTATATCTAACTAGCTAGTTCTCTCCAAGCAGTAGAATCTCTTCAGACATTGAAGGAAAGTGCTTGCTCACAGCTCTATTACCAATTATTTTAAAGGGTAAACAAGTCCCCTTACTAAAAGATATATGTTAAGTATCTCTTTTTAAAACTTGAAAAATTAAACCATATTCCTCCACCCCTAAAACAGACTATCTGCACCTTCTAATCTTGAATAAAATTTAGGTCTAACCTTTTGTCATTTAGTACATTCAGTGAGGTCTGTTCATGTGAGCATCAGGCATCAATTTCTCTACTTAGGCAGAAAGGTCATATAAGTTGTTAGTAGGAAAAAAAGTATATTTTTCAGAGTTTTCCAGTGAGCCCAAGCGGACCCAAAGCCATAGCACTTTTGTTCCTTTGTATTATTGTCTTCACATTTGTTTAGCACTTTCTAATTAATCTTCCAAACCCCTGCCACCAGACCTGTATTCCTGGAACATGTCCTGTTCTATTCTGGTTCAAAACTGACAGAACTTCCTCTGGATACAGATTATTTCTCATTCAGCTAGAGATAAACAGAATCCCAAGTCACCACATTGGCTGGGCTTGGTTGATCCAGGCCCAAGTTCACACTTAGGCTGCTAGTGGCTGATGAACCCAAAAAGCAAAGGTGGCCATTGATATGGCACTCAGGTCCCCTTGACCAAGGGACCTTCCACCAAACCCTATAGCAGTCACACTGGTAATGTAGGAGTTTTACAACAAAACCCAAGCATTTAATTGAGTAACTTCCAGTTAGTGACTTATTCCAAGGCTTTTTGCAGTATGATTTAAGTATGCTCCATATAATCAACATTACAGTTGAACCATATTAAGGTCTTATATTCACCATGACACAAATGGTGAATGAAATTTGTAATTCAAACACCGTATCAGCAACTTCTTTGTCAAATTTTCCATGTTACTGTGGTGTCTTGATTCTAATTACTGAGTATACAGCATCTTTGAAAATATTTTAAATTCTCTCCACAAGGTTATCTTCATGTTTGTGCTGTGCATTAATAAACTACTTGGATAAGTTGAGAGAACTCATCTCCTCAGATCTTTGTTATTTTTACTGGGAAATGAAGTACAAAGTATTTTTAATATTCCTCACTTTTGAGAACAATGGTTACAGGAAGTTGAATATCCCTTAGAATCAAGCCTTGTTTGTTGTTTCTAAAGTGAGATGAAAGAGACAGAACCAGCTTAGTCACAAACACAAAAAGAACATGGAGAAATGGCTGGGTCAGAATGAATGAGAGAAAAGGGATTCATTCTTTGGAAGTAGGATAATGGAAGAAGACAGATCAAGGACCACTTAGGTCTCATCAGTTGGGTAGAGCTGACCTAGCAGACTCAAAAGCTCATGTAGGAGGCCCCTGTACTACTTAACTGAAAACCAGAAACCAGGAGCAGTCACCATTATGGTCCTGGAATCGGGTAAGAAATAGTTATTCAGGAAACTTTCTAACAGTTGGAGAATCTGGCATGCATAACTTTTTGAGACAGGGCTCCATACAAGGGCCCAGAAAGAGGAATGAAGCGGTGCTGATCAGGAAGTGGCCGTTTTATACCACTTTTCTTCCTGCCTCACTAGCAGCAGACCAGCAAGAAGCGATGACTGCATATTCTCTCTCTTTCAAAATCGCTGTGATGGATTAAACTCAGACTGTTGGGCTTTTTAACTCTAGTTCAAAAAATCATTTTAGCAAATCTTTGAAATCTTAGAGCCATGCCCTTTTCAATAAAAGACTGGCTGCATCTCATGAAGCGGGTTGGTGTACATCAGATAGACGGCTGGTCCTCTGTGAGCTTGTGCATAGTAAAAGTATCCCTTCAGAGATGCTCCCGGAAAAAGGAGCGCCTGTGGCCTTGAGTCCTCACAGAGGTAAGCCGTGAAGTGGTCAGCTGTGCTCTTCAGACTCTTTTGCCCCTAAGGGCAAAAGGAAGTGACCTCACAGTCCCAGAAATCTGGGATATGGCCTGGAATTACCTGTAAATTTCTTTCAAGTCCTCCTTTTGATCTAAAATTACACGATAATTTTGTGTTCTAGGTTTTACCATTTCTGTTAGTTGTAATATAAAAATAAAGGCTCTTCCTCTTCTGAATCTTTTATTAAAACTGAAGTATGGGCCAGGTGGCCTATAAATTTGGGGAATACCACTGAGACCCCTCCCAAGGGCATACATAGCCAATTTTAAGAAGTAATGATATAAAGGAATTGCTCAGTTTATATAGGAGGCATTTTCTCAAGGTCATATTTTGCTAATAATTTAGTGTT